TTCTTTCCTGGAGAACTTCACCTCTTTCCAGGGACTGAGCAGGGAGGAGCAGAACGGGAGTGAATGGGACTGCTTCAGTTCCCAGCTTCCCGCTGGCATCTGCTCCCCTACCTAAGATAAGCTTATCCCCCTGCTTTCCCCCTTTGCGGTCAAGACATCCGCCCTGTCTTGGGCCCGAAGGACCCCAATTCTTGCCACCACCTTCTCTCACGTACTCTCATCAGGCTACTTCCTGGCTGCTGGGTCTTTCAAAAATATTGCTTTCATCAGATTTGGTCTGGAATCTCGGCGAGTTTTCTACTTTGAAAATCGCGCCAAAACTCTCGTAACTTCTGCTCAGAAAACCTTTTTTTTCCCCTCGCCCGACCGAGGAGCGGGTCCAGGATTTGTAATATCTAATGCAATTCTGGGAGCCCTCTTTAAAAAGGTGAAATCACAAAATTGCTAGGGCGTTGGGAAGGGCTTGTGCAAGTGCAGGACCCAGAAGCGTAAGGTTCGTTTGGTTTCACCGCTAGTCCCGTCCACGCCCACCTACTGGTTCCGGAACTTCAGTGTGCTCAAAGGAAGTCTGAGGGAACTTGTTTAAAATGCAGATTCACATAGCACAGTCTGGGTTGAAGGCTTAGAATTCATTTTTAACGGACTCTCCAGTGATTCTGCTCTGATTCCGTTTAATCAAGCTGGAAATGAGATACTGATCCCAGTCAGAGCCTCTCCTACCTTCCTTCCCACCACCTCCTACTGGTCATGCGCTGTATTACAGCACTGGTGCTCAAAGTTTGGTGCGGTTCACACTCCTCTGAAGAGCTCCTGAAGCAGCCTGACCTCATATCGAGCTCTCGGCTGATTCTGGCACCCACCAAAGCTCGAGAGCCACTCAGGCTCCCTAGTTGTTCATCCTTCTTTGCACAGGCGGTCTCTTGCTACTGCCCATTTCCATCCCGCACTGGAGGAGGATATTCCTCCTCCTTTCCATCTCTGATCCCTGTCACACACTGAGGTATAGTCCTTCCCTTAATCTCAGCTGTGTCACTCATCTGGCCCTAATCACACATCCCTCCTAGCATGGGATTGAATCTTTCTTGTGGTTATTTCATTTCCTCACTCCTTTTCATGGAACCTCAGTGTTAGGTGGGTCCCTGGTCACCTAGCATGCGGCAGGGTGAATGGGGGGGTGGCAAGGGCATAGGAGAGGTACTGAGTGCTGAGGACCAGGCAGGGGCTTGGCGTTGACCAGCTTTTCCTCATCCACAGGGGAAGAGGCTGCTGGAGGTGACAGTTTCATCCATGAGCGGGACCTGGCCTGGCTGCAGCAGGCAGATGGTGAGCAGTTCCCCCCACCCCCGCACCTCCTATCCACAAACTCCTCTGGGATGTTAGATCCCGTCCACACCTAGAAGGGACTCCCCAGAGTTCTCTTCTCACCACACCCAGACTCTTGTCATTTCTCCCTCACAAGCCCCGGGTATTGAGCCTTAGTCTCTTTTCTTTCCAGTGGTGGTGGCAGAAGTGACCCAACCGTCGTTGGGGGTAGGCTATGAGTTGGGCCGGGCCATGGCCCTCAATAAGCGAATTCTGTGCCTGTTCCGTCCACAATCTGGCCGAGGTGAGCACTTCAAGCCCTGGATGGCCCCTTCTCCACCCCAGCTTTCTGTGGACCCAGCCCTCAGCTCCTTCCCTGAGGGGGCTCTGGGTACAGTGCCTACCCCCAGAATGGGACAGGGAGGGGAGCGGAGGCGGGGTGGTGTGGATGGGAGCCACCATTACTTTCCTCCACCCTTCTCAGTGCTTTCAGCCATGATCCGGGGAGCGGCAGACGGCTCGAAGTTCCAGGTGTTAGACTATGAAGAAGGACAGGTGGAGGCCATGCTGGATCGATACTTTGAGGCTGACCCTCCTCTAGCAGGCAGCTGTCACCCCTGACCCAACCGCTTGACTTAACCCTGCTCTGTTATGTTCTAATCCCAGACTCTGCCCTAGTGCCCTTCCTGCCTCCTAGCCCCAGTTCCAAATTAAAAGGTATGTTTAAAATTCTAACTTTATGTCTATGAGTGGTGGCATGGGATCAGTCCTCAGTAATATCCTTTTCCTGCTGCATTTCACTTCAAGATGTAGAGAACATTAAACATTCTGTAGATCCGCAAGAGAGGGTACTATCTAATGCCGTCAAGCTCCTGCCAGGAACACTGAAGAGTATGGGAAGGTTGGGCCGGGGTGGGGGGTGGCTGTTTGTCTGTCTCTGATGCTAGGCTGGGTCTGGGGCAAGCGGGCAGGCCTATGCCTGCCCTGAACCACGTAGACTTTCATTTCCCTTTGTCAATTTAGGTCCAGTGGGTCTGCTTTGGACCTTCTCTGAGAACACAAGAGTCTGGAGGTAAAAAAAAAAAAAAAAAA